AGTTATAACATATTGTAATAGATAATAAATAAGTATCATATACTTGCTATATTATCTTTAGTTATAATATTATCTTTAGTTTAAATTAAAGTTATTATCTTAATTAATTATGATTTATAATAATCAATCAAAAAATTATGATTAATTATGATAGCTAATCAAAAAATTATAACTAAGTTATGATATTATTTTTAATTTAGATTATTTTACTTTAAGATAAAAAAGATAATATAATTTATTATAAATTAATTAAAGTCTTTATAAGTTTTAATTCAAACTTCAAGCAAATAATAGATTAAAGTTTATAATTAATATTTTAAAATATACTTATAAAGTACTCAAAATATAATTTATTTATAGTTATACTTATTATCTGTAAAGTCAAGATAAGATTAAGAGATTTAATTAAATATTTGATTAATATTTAATAAAAATATTATAGAATAAAATTTCTAAAGTTCAGAATTACTGATAAATTAATATTCTTTTTTTTATAATTATTTATAATAAAGCACTCTATGAAGTTTATAAAAAATTACTTTATAATAAATTTAAAATAAGAGAAATTTATAATATGCTAAATAAAATTATATAAACTTATAATAGATTAAACAAAATTATAGAGATCAATAATATATTAAGTAAAATTACACAAGCTTATTATAGATTAAATAAAATTATAAAGATTAATAATAAACTAGATAAAACTATACTAGTTCATAATCCTTCAGATAAAATCATATAAATTAATAATATTCCAGATTAAAAATGATGTAGTAAGTATGTGATACTTATTTATTATCTATTATAATATGTTATAACTCTAAAATTTTATAAGTTATAACTAGTTATAACTAAAAAATACTTATTTATTATTATGTTATAATAATTGAGAAGTTATCTTTACTTCAGATGAAATTACACAAATTAATAATACTTTAAATAAAATAATATAAATTAATAATATTCTAAATAAAATAATACAAATTAGTAATATTCTAAATAAAAATAATATAATTTAATGAGACTTCAAAATAAGTTAATATTTTTAATACTAAAGTTTATATCTTGATCAAAATATAAGAGAAAGAAGATATCTTATATGAAATAATTATTAAAGTAATATAAGAGAATAATAGTCAAGTTATTATTTATAAAACTTATATAAGACAGATCAAAAATATAAATAAAGATTATATAAAATAATAAACTTTATTAAAATAAAATAATAATTTATAAAAGTATTTATCAAAAAAAATTAGCTTTTGAATCTAGAAAGAAAATTGTAATTATTTCAAATTATAATACTAATCAAAAAATAAAAAAATAAAAGTTAGAGCAAATATATAATATTAGTAAAAAGATTATTAATATATATAATAATAAGATTGTAAAAATAAAAATTAATAGTAAAATAAAAATCTTTATAATAAAGAATTTAAAAAAATTTAAATAAATAAAGTAATAAATAATATATAAATAAAAGTTTATTATTTAATTAATAATATATTATATTAATATATTATTAATATTTTAATATATGAGATAATATAATAATAATAAAAATATTAAAATATAAATAAATCTCTCTAAATGTATTTCTCTTAGAACTAATTATAAGTATATATTTAGAGAGAGTGTATATTTAAAGAAAAAAGTATTTTTTATAACTTAATTATTATATATATAAAGTTATTTTTACTATTATATATTATTTTTTAAATCATATTAAAAATTATTATAATTATTAAATATTTATTATAATAATCAATTAAAATTTATTATAATAATCAAATTATTATTAAAATTTATTATAGTAATCAATCAAAGTCTTAAAGATTAAAGTAATCTTCTATATAAGACTATTATAATTAGCTAATTTTTTTCTCTTTAATAAATTACTCCAAAATATTTACTATCTTATATATTTAATTATATTTTCTTATTAAAATAAAAATAACTTAATATTTTTTAAACTTCTTAAAGTCATATTGATATTAATGATCATTAGCTTAATAATATTATTATCTTTATCTAAGTTATTTATTTTTTTCTTTTTAAATATATCTGTAAACTTCATAATAAGCTGATCCTTTTCTGAAACTTCATAAATAATATTCTTATTAGGAATAGTCAAAAATTTATTAACTTTTATCTGATTTGAAAGATAAAAAGTATTAAGTATCTTAGCAAGCTTTTCAAATATTAAATTATCAGTTTTCTAAGCATTATTAAAAAAATTAGTATTAGTTAAAAGAATCTTAATATAATATTAATAATTATAAATAATTGCAGATATTATTTCCTTCTAGACTTGAATAATATACTTAGTTATTTAAAGAATATTTATTTTAAATTCTGAATAAATTTATCTATCTCAATTTTCTCTAATATCTATCTAAAAATAAAATAATAGATAAATCAAATAAATAAAAGATTAATAAATAAATAAAATTACAAACTTATTAGAAATAAAAATAATAATAATATTTTTTAAAAATTATAATTACTTCAATATCTATTGGCTGAATTTTTAAAATGATATTTGAAGAAAGAAAGTGAATATTAATATATGAAAGTATTACTTTTTATCCATTATAACTTGAATAATTATCAAAAAGTAAAAGAATATACTAATCTTTATATTTTTATATAATCTAATAGTTAAAATCTTATAGTTATTCTTAAAAAAGAACTATAAGCATTCAGATCTTGATATTATTTTAATATATTATAAAAAAGTTTTAAAGTCTTAGATTTTTAAAATACTGAAAATTTATTAACTTGTCAATTATAAAAGAATTTAACTTATAAAATTTATTAATATTTGCATATAATATAATAAAAAAATGTTTCTTATTTTTCTTATATTTAGCAAGATATCATATTATCAGTATTTGATCTGATTCTAACTGATAGAAAAGCTCAATTTCATCTATATTATAGATTTAATTAAAGGAATATCTTGAATATTTATCTTATAATAATGATAAATACTTGATAATAATATTATAATTAACAAATACTTCTTCTTTATCAAGTTTTTCTTGATAAATTTTATTATATTTCTTGAATTTTTGAAGTCATCTATGAGAAAATTTCAATATATCTATAGAAATTTCTAACTTATCTATTAATAACTTGACTTTCTCAATTAATAAGATATTACTCAAAATTATTTAATATTGATAAATTAATATAAATTCTTTAAGAGCTCCAGAATAATAACAGATTTATAATGCTTTGCTTTTGAATTTTCAACTTTTATTACTAGTCATCTCTTTTTGATTTAAAGAATTTGTATGATTATTAACTTATTAATTATAATATTTCACTTTTGTTTAATTTATTTAATATATTTACTCTGAATTTTCTTATTATTATGAGCATAAAGATAGACTTTATACTTTTGAGCATCTATTAAGATTATCTTAGTTTTTAATGATATATTCTTTAAAAAAGCAAGTAATTTGTCATGTAAAGATAAGAATAAAAATGAATAAGTATTAAAATAATTAGAATCTTATAATAGCTAGCTTATTAATATTAATAATATAATTATTATAAAAAAGTATTAATATAATTAAAGTTTTTATAATTACAATAGATAACTTAACAGTTGCTTGTAATTAGAGTTTTTATAATTACAATAGATAACTTAACAGTTGCTTATAATCAGAGTTTTTATAATAGTTAGTTTATTTATAATATTAAAAGTTTGATAAATAAGACTAATAATTTAAACTTTATCAATAATTTAAGATTTATTAATTTAATAAATAAGAAAAGCTTAATAAATAATATATGTTTAATAAATAAAACAGGTTGATAATATGACTAATGAAAAATAGAATGCAACATTCTATTAATCAATCTAAACATGTGATTAAAATATCATGTAAATATATTTAAGGAGATAATACTAATATAATAAAACCAGCAAAGTTGTTATATATGCAAAATATGAACTTGGAACCAGACTAAAAAATATATTTAAAGAGAGTATATATTTAGAAAGAATATATTTAAAAAGATTTATTTATACATAATATATATATATTATGTAACTTATATACAAAAAAAATCACTCATTTTATTTTAATCTGTCATAATAATTATAAAGATAATAAAAATTAATCAAATAGTATTTATCATTAATAAAGCTAATAATGAAGTTATTATTTTCTTGTCTTGGCTAATTAAAGATCTGCAAAGTGTGCCATTACACCGGCATCAATCGTAATAACGTGATACAGCCGAGTGCTGGATATTGGTCGTAAAATCACGTGACCAACACTTTTTTTGCCGTGACTACTTGGTTCTAGTCACAAACGGTGTTGTGGCTAATAAATCCCGATCGAACGTTGAATATTGGATAAATGATGGCGAATGACAAATACTTTCGCCAAAAACTCGAGTTATTAAAGAAATGGTTAGAATAATGAAAATTATAACAATGTTTTTTCTATTGGTGTAAAGCCTTCAAATAAAATTCATTATATTTACATGCTCTTCTGTTGTAACAATAATTAAAATAATTTCTTCTCATTATACATTTCAGATTCGAGAAAGCCAAATAAAAAAAATACTCCCATCATGACTACATAAATCAGATTCGAGAAAGTCAAATAAAAAGAAACACTCACTTGTGAATACATAAATATATTACATTCTTTTCGTATCAAATCTATCGTTTCCGTAGTTTGAGTTATTAGCATAACGACTGAAAAAATGTGGCCATCCAGTCTTTAACCTTTTTTCAATAGCAACGCTCTTCCCTTTGTTGGGCTTTACAGCAGTAGTTTTAGCATGTACCATAGTGATCCCAAAGTATTCACGAGTTAAACTATCGCTAAGACGGAGTTTTTTGGTGGGAAGTTCGGAAAGTTGTTCTGGCTCTCCCTCGAAGTAATTGGCCAATATATCAAAAAGAAATAAAACATTAGCACTCTTAAGCATCGAACAAATAACTGATAGCGTCAAACCAAGGAAATATAGTTTCAAATCAGTTGCCGCCTGGCGGCCGCAGGAGACACCGGAACTGAGTTATCAGTCTCCGAAACTGATAGGTATGAGGTCTGAGGGGAAGAATCGAAAAGAAATAGAACATTAGCACTCTTAAGCATCAAACAAATAACTGATAGCATCAAACCAAGGAAATATAGTTCAAATCAGTTGCCACCTGGTGGCCGCAGCTTCGTTCCGTTTTATTTGTGTAACCTTACAAGAAGAAAATATCCGCCTGGTAGCCGCAATAGCAACTTGACAATGTAAGGTGCGCCAGAGGAACCATACCGCCTGGTGGCCGCATATAGTTCATAAACGCGCAGCTCGCGGGCTCCTCGCCTGGTGGCCGCGGGAGACACCGGAACTGAATTATCAGTCTCCGAAACTGATAGGTATGATGTCTGAGGGGAAGAATCGAAAAGAAATAAAACATTAGCACTCTTAAGCATCAAACAAATAACTGATAGCATCAAACCAAGGAAATATAGTTCAAATCAGTTGCCAC